GAACCCTGACAGTCCCTGCTCCGAGTCACCAGAGGCAGAGGGTGGCCTGGAGGAAACCTCTGCCTTCCCACCACCACACTGCTGCGAAGCAACACATGTCTCAGTGCATCTTCCAGATCCTCTTCAAATGCACTGCAGAAACTCCAATCTACCACCAGCCCTCCCTAAGCTCAGCCAGGTGCAGCAGACACGGTCCTGCAGGCTCAGCTCAGCTCACAGAAGTGTAGCTCTCACCTGAGTTCCATGGGATCACCAACAGCAGCTCTGGACACAGAACAGCTGATCCCATCATTACCGCTGCTGGACCATCCCAGCCCTCTCACACCTCTGAGGGGCTCTTGAGAGCTTCTCATCTTACTCAGCAGGTAGGCAAGGTGCACTAACCCACAATGGGGGATGGAGCTATAATTACTGCAGCAGAGCTCGGACCCACTTCTGGGTGGGGAAGGGATGAGGTAGAGGATGGAGATGGGAGGTGATGGAATGAGATGTGGAGACTCCACGGAGCTCCCCAAGGTTGGTGGAAACCAGCCCTCTCCTTCCATACATCTACTGCTGGGATATGCCACGTGCCACATCCAGCAGAAGTCACAGACATCCACAGGGAGAACAAGCAAACATTTTGAACACATGTCCAAGTGGCTCAGCACTAGGCAAGAACATGCTGGATTAGCATGTTTCCCATAACAAACTAATAAAGGTGAGGATTCACTGAAAGCGTACCTGAGGATTTGTCAAGCAGGCTGTAAAGCAGAAATGATTAGAAGTAACAAAGGAAGGCAATCATGCTCATCCCCTCTCCAAGCACTGGATACAAAATCAGTGCTGTGCCCCAGCCCATGCTGATGCTCCTGTGCTTTTTCTCCCACGGTGGGGACCCCAAAACCTGACACCCCCACTGGGGCTGCAGCTCCTGAGAGAGGAACCCACTCACATGGACCTGACGGAGCCCTGAGCTCACACAATTTCACCACAGTGGGTGGGAAAAACAAACAAACAAAAAAAATACAACCCAGGCATCTCATGTTAAAACAACAGCACGGCTCCAAGAGACACACAGAGTGCTGCAGAATCTTGCCTGCCCCTTCTGCAGCAAAGCCCAAGGGAAGCTGCTGATGAGTCAACAGGCAGCAGGCAGCCGGCTGCGGGAGGGAGGGAGGGATGGGAGGAAGGAGGGAAGGAAGCGCAGCCCCGGCTGGGACGCAGTGTGCTGGCTCCATACTCCAACAGAACTGTGGTAGATGCTGGGGCACTTCCTGGGTTCAACACCTGGCAGCCCCACATTTTGCCAGGGCTCCCACAGCAGCATCATACAGCACAGCCAGAGCTCTGCTCCACCTGCAGCTGTGCTTCTGGAGGACATGGGATAGAGGAGACTAAAGGGGACGGTCACATCACTGCCCGGATGGCGTGGCAGCCGTTCATCCTCTCCCACTGACCCACCACCAGCATTTGTTCCTTCCTGTTGCCACAGCACTTTCTGTTTTCTGTTCAAACAGGGCCACAGCAACGATGCAAGGAGAGATCTGCGACGCCAAGAATATCTGGGAACCCTGCCAGCAAGAAGCAGCCTTCCTGCTCGTCCTCCCGCTGTGCGCACATTCACAGGAAGCAGAGTATACAGCACATACTGATGGAGCTTAATGTGAGCTCCCAGAGCTGCCTCGAGGTCCTGCCCACATCCCTGTCAGCTCAGGGAAGGGAGATGTTAAACGATTCACTAAATAAGGAACTAAAGACTTACAGGTGCACAGCACCAGAGATAGGGGCCAGTGCCGCATAGAACGATGCTTCTGGTGCACCAGGATGAGCTGGGGTCAGGCTCTGTACCCACTGTGAGGGAAGGGCTCTGTGGCCCCATATAAGAAACCATGCAGAAAGCAAAGAGCATCTTCCTCCAGAGCTCATCATGGCATAACTGTGGAAAGGTAGAGCTCATAAAACCATAGAATCACTGAGGTTAGAACAAACCTCTCACATCCCCAAATCAAACCCAGACCACTCCCACCACATGGTCAATGACCACGTACCCAAGTGCCATCATCTCCACAGCTCTGGAACACCTCCAGGAACAGTTACTTCCCCACTCCCTGGGCAGTCTGTGTCCGTGCCTGCTTAGAGAAGAAATTTTTCCTAATACCCAACCTGAACCTTCCCTGGAACAACTTTGGTTGCCCCAAAGGTTCTTGTTCCCAGCTGGTGACTGAATGGTCCCCATACTTCGACGCTCTCAGACCACCAGGATAACTGCATTCGGTGCTTACTTACTTATCACCTTACTTGCTTGCCCTTAACCTCAAGCTGTGATGGTCCCACTCTGCATCTAGCACCCTGGTAATGTCTGTGCTGGGGTTCCCCCATCTGTGAACCCATCCTGGGGCTACATGGCTCAGCCCTGCTACTGGGCTGCCCAGGGCACCTCCTGGCTATGGGACCCAGACGAATGGGAAACACCACTCTTGGGAGAAACTAACTCCTCATTTTCCCTGCTCTCATTTGCCTTTCAATGGCTTTTAGAGCCAAGCTTTGCCCTTGAGGCTGTGGGCAATTCCCAAGCAAGCTGCTGCATAAAATGAACCTCCTTTTAAGCACTGATGAGTCAGGTTTGTGGTGAGGAAGCATGCAATGTTCCACGCTGCCCAGCGGCTCTGCTGTGCAGGCAGCACACACATGGCTGGTGGCATCCAGCCCCAGGCACCAGAGCACAGTGACACGGGGGCCAAAGGATGCTCTTCCTCTGTGCCTCACATCAGTCTGCAACGGACCCCGTGTTAAGGTGGTTCTCAGTGAAGGCATTTCCAGGCAGCTGCTTTCTGAGGAAAGCATGCCTTAAAAGAAAGCGCTTTCCCCTTCTGCTTCACCCACAGCTTTGACATTTTAGAGCTCCAGCAAAATAAAACGTTTCAAAATCTCATTTTCAGCTTTGGATTTGCACAACCTAGAGGCAAGGAGCAAGGAGGAAGAGTGCACTTCTGAGCACCCAGGCAAGAGATTAGAAGAGCAGCAGCTCTGTGCAACGCACCTTTCAGTGCATTTCCCCCCACTTCTATGGGCAATGCTCTGTGACACCACTTTGAGATGCGGCACAAAGCAAAATGCTGCCCCTGGCAGTGCTGCACCTGAAGCTGTGCCAGCTCTTGCCCTGGAGGAGCAGCAGCCATTGGACTCTGAGCTTCCAGCCTGCAAAAAGCTCAGTGCATCACCAGCCCACAGCACTAACTGATGTAGGACTTAGGGCAGTGATGCCATCAGAGGGACAGAGTACCCCACACCATGTGTGCTGCCCTGACAGAAAAGGGACGGATGCATCAGAAAAGGCACCTGCACAGCCATGAGCTCATCTTGCTGCGGTGGGAAATATGCAGCTGTCCTCTGGGCAGAGACCCACACAGAGACAGAGCAACATGAGCAGAAGGCCTCTGTGATTTGGTTCTGGTCTGCAAAGAAACCCTACAGGAAGCAGGACAGAGCTGCCAGCGCTCAGGAGCCCTGGAAACAAGGGGAGGGGAGCAGACAGAGGTGTGATCTGCCCACAGAGCTCACAGCCGGCTACCCAGGAGCAGACACAGCACTGCCAGGCAGATGCTGCTGGGGTCAGCTGCAGAAGGGCACCTCCAGCAGGGCACTGCCAAGCTATCACTTCTCAGCTGGAAATAGCCCCAGCATGATCCTCAGCTGGGGAGCAGAGCACTCACGAGCACAAGCTGCGGTTAGCTATCAAAGACAACTTTAAAAAGATATTCTACTTGCTGCTTTTTTTTTGTTGTTTTTCCTTTTTTTTTTTTTTTTTTTTTCCTCCTCTTTTCTTAAGGATTAAATCAACTCAACAGCCCCCTTTACAACTTCCCTTTTGATGTGTTCAGACTCATTAAAGTTTCATTTCTTTCTCTGTTTTCCCTTGGGGAGAGCTGGGGGGTTGGGGGGGTATGCACAAAAGTTTGCATCAGACCCTGGGCCGGCAGCTGCAAGAGCAGCTGTGGACGAATGGAGCTTCCATGGGACCAGTGCTGCCCCAAACCCCTCACTGTGAGCAGCCCACGGCCCCAGCCCACCCCACAGCAGCACAATGCCTGTGCCATGGCTCCCCCTGCTCCCCCCACAGCATCCTCAGCCGTGGCTGTGATGGGGCAGTGGCTCGTCCATATTTCTTTTGTGCCTCAGCAGCTGTTTTAGTGCCTCCTTTAAACTTCCCCATTTTAAAACAGCTAACAAGGTCCCGATCTAGGCCAGTGCAAGGTCCCGCAAATGCCTGACTAATGCTGGGCTCCCCAGCCCTCTAATCTCTGCATCCCCATCACATTCACAACACAGAAGAACAGCTCACAGAAGTTTTTAATTTAGGGCCCAGCTCCTGCACCCCCACATCATGACATACAGCTCCATCATAGCCGTAGAATGGGGCTGGATTGGAAGGGACCTCACAGCCTCCCCAGTCCCACCCTGCACGTGCTGGCCAGACTGCCCAGGGATGAGGCATCCAGAGCTCTGCACAGTAATGCCAGTGACTGTCCACCACTGGGTAAAGAATGTCCTCCTAATATCCAATCTAAATCTCCTCTCTTTTAATTTAAAGCCATCCTCACTTGTCCTATTGCTAACTGTCCATGCAAGAAGTCACCCTCTTTCTGTCCACAAGCACCCCTCAAGTTCTGAAGGCTGCAGTGAGGTCTCCCTTCTCTAGGCCAAACAGCCTCAGCCTTTCTCCATAGGAGAGAAGCTCCACATCTCTGAGCACTGAATCACTGAACCATTATGTCTGGGAAAGACCTCTAAGATCCCCAGGTCCAACACAACTCACCCCATCACACCCACGACCACATCCCCCGGTGCCACATCTCCATGTTTCTGGAACACCCGCACCAGTTCCAATGCCAGACCGCTCTTCTTGAGAAGAAATCATTCCCAATATCCAACCTAATATTATCTTCACAGCTTCCCTCTGGTTTTCCCAGCTCAGAACCCCCAGCCACGAGCACGCAAGGCGCAGGGATGCTGCTTACCTGACCACGGGCTGAGGGATGGCCTCGGCACTGGCTGGGACCTGCACGCCCTTCTCCCACTCCTGGCGCCAGGGGTCTGCCAGCACGTAGTACTCCTCAGGGCTGAGCTGGAAAGAGTCGGGGATCTTCATGGCCGTTATCAGGTCCGTGCGGAAAACCTGCGAAGGGAAAACACCAACACTGGGTGGAGGGCAGGAAATGGGGCATGGCCATGGGCAACAGTGTGACAGATGTGCCACGCTGGCCTGACGCCGTGATGGGCTGCATTTTTCCGGGTGCTCACAGCAATGGGCTTTCTACCACTTTAACTGGGGCAAGAGATGCTCCTCTTACTCTTGACATGAAAGGAGATGAGCAGCTTTTGCACACCCACAGGCATGCAAGCACAGCCCACCTCACTGGGTGACCCTGTCCCAGTTTTGGCACTGCACACCTGCAGGTAACTCCAGATGTTACTGGAATCAACAGAAGGCATTTGGAGAGATTTATATGGCAACAGCTGACAGCAATTCCATCTCCAGAACTGCTGCAGTGGGGAGCATCAGCATCAGAACATCCCCACAGCAGCTCTGCTGCTCCGGCCACAGTTGGAGCCGTGGCTACGGAAAACTAGGCTGGGGTTGGGTGAGGAGTTTGGAGCTGGTACGTGAAGATGGGCTCCCCGCCGCCTGATGGGTCGGTGGAAACACAAAGGCATCGCTGAGCTGTAACGCCGTTTCACTTGCTCATTGTCTCCCTCATACCCGAGGGCAAAGCTGAGTTTACAGTCTTGGAAAAAAATTCTTTGCTTAGTGAACAGGAAAATCTCTGGCTAAATGGTGATACAGATGCCTGTGTCCATGCCCACAGCCAAACACGCAGAGGTTTCTCCTGACCCATTAAACCCGCTTGAAGATACAGAGCCCTCCGTGTGACAACCCCCACTCCTGGGCAGGGAATGGGCTCTCTCCCATCTCTCATTTGGCCCTGCAGAGCCTTCCCCAGTGCACTGCGATGAGAAAAGCATTCCAAAATAACCCACTGCGGTAAATAAGGCTTTCCTTCCAGGGGACAGCAACGGCGCGAGCAATCCTGTCTATTGCAGGGTAAAAATAAATCGTAAATGAAAATGGATGGTTTCTCCTTTCTACCATCTGCTATTAGCTGCAATGATGTCAATGATGCCAGCAGCCAGACTGGGACACCACCGAGCTCCAAGCACTGCTCCTTCTGCAGAACTGGGACAGACCAGGTGTTTCCTTCAGTGCTGCTTTGCCCGTTTCCAGTGTCAGCCTCAGATCGAGGGCTGCTTTGTGAGAGCCACAGTAGAGGCCAGAGGATGGTTTTGCATTTTCAATTCAGTGATAACACTCTTTGGAGTGTTTTGGAAACTAAATCAGCTAAGATGTAGGAAACTAGACATTAACTAAGACCACTCAGACTGGGATTTAGGTCAGTTTGTTTAATCCCCAGAGCCTCAGCTGATAACCCAATTAGAGTTAAACACAATAAACAACCTTTTCTATGTTGGGACCTCCTGGAACTGTGCAGGTACCTCCATCCCATTGATGCTCAGAACCCTACAAAGCAGATCTGAGCAGCCCAAGCACAGCCCCAGCACATCCCTCAATGAACACAACCAACAGCCTCCATACTGCAGTCACACAGGGGCTCCATGTCAGAAAGATCAAATTCCTCTAAGCCTCTCACTGCAACAAATTCCTTGCTACAAGCACCACAGAAACGCTTTGCTGTGCTGTCAGTGCATTTAAAAAAAAAAAAAAAAAAAAAGATTAAGATCAACACTAATTAAGCACGAGGAGTCTGCAAGAAGTCATAATCCTCGCAGAGCTGCGTGTTGGTGTACCAGGCAGCAAGAAGAAAACAAGGTCAGCCTGCTGCAGCTCCCTGCTACATGGCAGCATGCGGCCACGCTCCGGCCAGGACACTGCGCACACCTCACCACTGCACAGCCCTCCCTGCAGCTCCTGCCCCCCGCACAGCACAGGCTCTTCCCCAAATCCACCCCTTCTGACTCTTCAGCTCGCATCCCCGAAGAAGCAGAGTTTTAATTTTAAGCCAAATAAGCACGATTGTATCTATTTCCCCAAAGATGATAAGGCGCATCGCGGGCTGGATGTGCAATCTTACCACTTCATTTATTTAGTCCTTCTTGGAAAACAGATAAGCTCGCACTTCCAAAGGCAGTGAGCACGCCAGCACTTTATCACAGCGATGCCTCTGTCTCTTCATGAAGAACTGGAAACGCTCAAATTATTAACTATCAAAGCAGAACACTTTAGAAATGATAGAACGCCAGAGAAATTGTAAAGGAAAGCAGATCAGTTGTCTGGAAATCTCCCAACAGCTAATACGCACAAATTGTAATCTAAATGTCTTTTTGTTTTGAATTGTCTGGGATTAGAGTTGGGAAAAGACTCAATTATTCTACTCAAACTCTTCTGAATTATTTATGAAAACTAAATAAAGGACAAATTGGGCACTGATGAACTGAGGACCTGGCGGTGAAGAGAAAGTTGTGTACCAGAAAACAAGCAATTTTCCCTCAATAGCACTGTTTACTGTTTCTTCCCTCTCGTAGGAACCCACAATTTGTCTCAGCAGCCTGGCTGCCACCTGCCCTGTGCCACAGCCATGCTGCAGGGACCGGTGGGTGCTCACCTCAGTGGCACCTGGAGCCAATGGCAGCACCAAGAGGGACCGAGCAGCCAACTGTCATACACCATATGGAACCAGCAGTCAAGAATTACAGATGTGAATTACTTCCCTTTGCTTTCATGGTACTGTGTGATTCCAATGGCCAGCAGAGCTCTTACATCCAGAAACACCCGGTCAACCTGACCGTTGGGTTACAGGCTCCTGTAGCTCTTGTTAGCTAAATCAAGTCCTGCCATACACGTCCCATGGATCTTTGGGAGCACCAGGTACCTCTGGATGATGCTCCGCTGAACAATGTGAAGAAGCCACACCTGCACCTGCCTCCTTCCATGTGCTGCCAAGAGCCGCCCGAGCAGCACAACAGCTTCTCCAGGAAAGAATCCCATCATGGAGACCTCCACCTGTCCTCTGCCGTGTTCCTCAGCTTCACCACTGGGTTCCAGCTGACCTACAAGGCATCAACCCACGCCGCTGGCACACAGGGCAGTGGTGACTTCCCAAAGGGTGATAGGGCCATCATGTCACTTGCTGCCCACACCCCCCGCTGCTGCCACTTCCTCATCCCTTCAACGCACAATGCTGGGCTGGCAGCCCATCCCAGAGGACCAGAAACATGAGAAATCAATGCAATTCAAGAACCATCACATTACCAAGGATATATCCATCTTTGCTATTATTTCTGCAGTTCACTGTTGTGAAGCAAAAGCCACATTGATCTCTCTCAACTAAAACCAAAGACTACATTAATGAGAAACAACATAACTTCTGATTCTGACATTCTAATTTCTCACTTCGCCTGGCTCCAAGAAGGGTATTCTTGAGTGACTGCGCCAGCAACCCGAATGTCCCCTCCTGTGACCTGCGGCTGTAGCCAGGGCTCAGCCCAGTGTGGGCCTGCACTGCACAAAAAGCATCCTCCTCCAGTTCTGCATTTCATCTCTGCCCATCAGCCCTGCCTTTGTACCTTTCCACAGCCTCTCTGAGATCCCCATATCAATGTCAAGGTCTTTACACTCGCCTACAAACCTCCTCAATTCAGCAATGAGCCGAGCTCACCACTGCTCAGCTCCACATAACGCGAGGACTGTGCTTTTAGAGGCAGCACACAGCGGGGCCAAAGCTGCCACTTACCCCACCAGCCCCACACGCTGACCCGAGAACATCAGATTCACATCCTTTACTAACTGCTTTCCACTTATATGAGATCAGCTGCTGGGCGAGAGCCAAGAAGCTGAATCTGTTTTGGTCTTTAAATCTAAACTAAAGAAACACTCGTCTAGCGCTGCTTTTAATTAGCTATGAGAAGTGCAGCGAGCCTGGGGACCACGCCGGGTTCTGCACAGTGGTGGCAATCCTTGTACAGGTTCTTGTTTGTGCACACTGGTGTTTGCATCCCCAAAGGTTCTGCAAAAATGAACCTCTCCCAAGTGCTCCACGCTGCAGAGCGCAGCCCTCTCCGACAACCAGCGTGTGCAGCAGCATCCCTGTAAGCTCCAAAGCAGCACTGGGAGCATTAGGCACCGTTTCTTCTGTGGTTGTGCAGCACACAACCAGCCACAGCTGGTTCTCAGCATGAAGCAGTTCTGGAAGCTCAGACGAAAGGTTTTCTTGAGGTTCTGGTTCGACACCACTCCTTCATCACCACCCATTCCACGAGGTCTCACCCATCCCACAGGTCTCTCCTCCCTTCAGCGATGCAACGAGCCCTTCATTCTTTCAAGCAGAAAATTGTTTGCTGTAGCTCATGAGTCACAAGGATTTTGAGAGAAAGAGAAAACAATGAGAACAATGGGAGCCCTGGGAATATCTTTTGGTTGGACAAACTGTCTTCGTATCAGCTGGAGCTGGCACCTCTGCGGGTCCAGCCCTTGGCTGCCCACCCGGCTCCCACCCCATCTCATTTCCCAGGCATTCTGTCACACTCTTCTGGCCCGTTCCAAAAGGAGCAGAGCAGCAATGTGCAGTAGCAGGGCTCAGAAACGTGGCAGTGCCTGATGCGTGTCTGTAAGCCGTGATATTATCTGCCTGTGGGGAGAAAAATACTTACTCTCGTGTTCATTTGGGATCCAGGCCGCTATCTCTTAATCTATTCTTGTTTCCTCTTGAAATGCTGAATGTTAAAGACCCAACGAACAAGAGAATTTAAAATAGGAACTAGAAGCATTTTCATCCTGCCCTTCTCAGCATTCAAAAGACAATGGCATTAATCTGTTAGAACCACGCTGGCTTGGGAAAAGCGACAAAGGCACCGCAGTCCAACCTTTCAACAGTGGCATATTTTCTCTTCATTCAGCACAGTAGAAGTATATCCAGCCCTGCCTGGCCACATGGCCTCTTACAAATGTCTTTCTTAAAGCACGGAGAGCCCAGGGACTAAATTCACAGCGCCCTGTAGCAGCACGTACCTACTGCAATGGGAAAAGATTTCAACACAGAGAGAAGCGGTGCAACAATAATTGCTTCCTAGAAGGTAAATGATATAAAAATGAGGGCGTTTAAAAAGGGTTAAGTGCTTGTAAGGAGATGGAAAAAGACATCTTCCCCAACACGGAAGTCATATCTAAAGGAGAAAAGCAGAAAATAATGTAAACTGCATAAATCCACAGCTTCCCTCTCATCCTGAAGACAGCATGCAGCTGCAGAACTGAGATCCCCAACAGGATGGGTCTGAGCGAGAGGGGCAGTGCTGACACTGGGCGAGATGAGCAGCAGCTGCACGGGGAGAGCTGACAGCAGAGCTGTGGCAGGCAGCAGGGCGACCCAGGGCAGCAGGTACCTCTGCCCCCACAAAGCATTCCAGCAGTGCAGCTCGTGGCAGCGCTCTGGATCCCGAATAGTTCAGAAGCTAATGACTAACATCCTGGCTAATGCAGTGACTCAGATGTAGCATCCAAGAGAGTCCCCAGGCCGCTGATGGCTGGGAGCTGCAGGATGTAACCGGCGAGCATCATTACACACTTGCCTTGTTCTTATATCCTCTGCTTAGACACTGACAACTGTTCCCTGCCAGAAACAGGATAGAGGGCTGACGACAGCCATCAAACCCAGCGAGGCTTATGCTTGCATCCCCGCAGCCCTATGGCTGGGGCAGGATTGCACGAGAAGCAAAAATCCATACTTCAGGCACATCTCATCCCTGCTCCAGATTCAGCATCAAGAACCAGGAGGAGCTGAGAGCACATCCTCTACCCTGCTGCCACCAGCAGCATCCCTGCACCCCACAGAACTGCTTGGGGCAGCAGCACTTGGGATTGCAGGAACCCTGCTCTCTCCAGCCCATGTCCAGGGATGAATGAGCCCTAATGAGATAAATGCAATCAGGAGATTAACGCAATCAGGCACTGCTGATGCAAGGAGCTGCCTCACTCCATCCTCAGCCCCGAGGCTTCCCTGCCAGCAGCCTGGTGGGTACGGGGACGGCTGCCACCTTTGTGAGCTTTCACAGAGCCCAAAGTCTGGGACACATCGGGACAGAGCCCAGTGACATGCACAGATAAATATAATCACCCTCCCTGGCAATGGCCACCATCGCGGATGTTTACAAACAGCTCAGTACTTTTCCATGTAAAGAAGCTTGTTTTTCCAGATGCCTCGTATTGGGTGGTTTTTAATGTGCGTAGTTAATCCCTTCTCACAGAGTCTTTCATAATAAACATCACCCCCTGACCCAGCTAATAACTATGTAACACTAATGCTTCTGATTTTTTTTTTTATCTCCTGTGAACGCTGCCAGGGGAATGCAGATGGCAGCTCCTTCTCTAGCCCTCTTGCAGGGAAACAGGGACACAACTTTGGGAGGGACAGCAGAAGTCGGGGGTGATCCTCAGGCTGTCCCCCAACACCACTGTCCCTGCATCCCAAGCTGTGCCTGAGCTGCCTGTGCTGGGGAGCTGGCAGTGCACAGAGTGCTGCTTGGATCCTTGCAAAGCCAGCAGCCATGTGCAAATCTCAGTCTAGGCTGGTGTTTGAAACAGCTGCATCACCCCAAAATGACCGAGGCAGGCTGTATGGCAGCGTGTGATGTTCAATAGCTTCACTGTGCTTTCCCTGTTACCTTCTCCAACCTCAGTATGATGATCAAGGCACCTGGCTATTTCATGTTAAGCAGGATTGACAGCAGCGCGTTGACAGTTTTGCTCTTCTCCACATTTGCCATTCCAGCATAGGATGCCCACCTGCTTCTATGCCCAAAAATCTCCCTGCACAAGGCCCTGCAGCACGTCCAATGGACAGAAACGGGCCACTGCTGCAGCTCAGCACTGGCACAGCATGCCCAGGGTGCCAAGGCCACAGCAGGACACGAGGCAGCTGGGGATGGTTTGGAAGATGCTATTGCAGTGGAAATCCACAAACCAACGCTGACTGAGGAGACATCCACACCCCTGCTGTGTGCCCTGGGCCGTGCCGATGATGCCCAGCCAAGCCCTTGGCTTCCACCCGGAGCTGAACCCAGCTGGCATTGCACCCAGCAACTGCAGGGAAGATGCAAGATGGGGAATTCCAGCTGAGATCCAGACAGCTCACATCTGCTCAGGTTCCCACTGAACTTTTATAGTTGGTTTGTCAGCTTGAGCGTCCTGGCCCATCTCCAGCGTGAGGCACTGCGTGTCGCCTTCCCCAGGTCCCTGCAGTTCCAATGCTAATGTGCTGCTGTGGATCACTCTGCCTCAACAGTTACATGAACCCAGAACAGTCCTCCAGCATTGCACTGCCAAGCTCTGCTCCAGTTTCCTTGCTCCAGGGCTGCATGCTCTGAACCTGGTCCTCACAGGCCCTAACGTCCCGTTGGGTGCAGCAGACACAGCCCAGTAACATCCCCAGGGTGCACACCTGGCTCACCCCGATCCTTAATGCCATCTCATGGAGGGGTGATGGTGTCTCAGCAGGGGGAGATACCCCAGACATCGTCTCTGTACCCGGGCCTCAGCTCACAGAACCCCCCATCGCTCATTCTGAGAGACACATTGATAACCACAAAGCAACATTCCCAGCTGTCAGCAGGCACTGACACCTGTACCTGGGCTCTTTGTTTGCTGTAGAGTTCCCAAGTACCTCAGCAGTCACAGCAGCTCCTTAGCCCTTAAGGCACAAGCAACCTGGGCTTTTTAAACCCCTGTCCACTGCCAACACATTAGATACATCAGTGTAAATCTGTCACAGCGATAAAAACTAAGCGCAGCTGTAACTCAGGCAGTGACCACAGGAAAACCTCAAAATCTCAGCTCAAAACAAAGGGGGGATGTTACAAAGGTCTGTGCTCACCGGGCCACAGCCCAGGAGCAGCACAGCGCAGCAGCTAGAGGCAGGATTTACAGCCTGCATTCAGGGAGGCTGCAGCCCTGCCAGCTCCACCTTCAGCTAAACTTAGCTCTGTTTGGACACTGGTCTGGATGGAAACGTGTGAGCAATGTCACTCTGGCTTTGCTCACACCGCTCTGGGAATGAAGATGACTGCCACTAAGCAGAGCAGTTGCTACAATAACAGCTTGTGCTCAGTATAGTTTCTATGTCTATTGGAAACGGAGTTGAGCCATGCAAGGGCAGCAAGGCACAGCCAAAGGGCACCAGGTGGGCACCAAGCCCGGGATATCAGCCTAGGGCCACCTCCAAACCCCATCTGCATGAACAGGGCCCCTCTGAGAACCAGGAGATCAGGTCCTGGGCAGCACTTCACACTGTATACCTCAGAGGGCTTCTTCTCCTTCTGCCGGGACCAGCTGGATTTGGTGCTGGGGATTTTGGAGCATCTGGACGCGGATGTGGTGTGACCTGCAAGAAGGCAGAAGAGATGTTACCCGACAAAGAGACCAAGTTCTGTCTGCGTCACTGTCTGTGTCACTGCTGCCCCTACAGCCCCAAGCCAACCCTGGACAATGCTAGGAGATGATAAACCCCAGTGTGGCGTTACAGCTGTGCACATCTCAGGGTGCTTCATCAGAACAGATCAGCATCCCTTTCTGATGCCACAGATGGTGAAACAGAGCCCCTTGAACTTAAGAAAACTGTTCTCAAGAGAAGACATCAGAACTGCCCAAAGCCATAAGAACAAATGGCTTCCATCAGGGAGTAAGCCAGGGATCTCCTGGAATCACCACTCAGGGAGGAGATTGAACTGTTCCAGCACGGATGCTCCAAGTGAAGGCCCTGAACCACTCAAGGACTTCAGACTCTGGCAGAAAAGATATTGACCACGAGTATAAAACTTCCTCGCCAGCAGCAGGATCAGTAACTTCCATACTGTGTGCAGCTCAGCAGCCCCCTCTGCACACGACAGCACACATCAGTAGTAGGAGAGTATTTGCTGTGGGATTTGGGATTGCTTTTCTCCGGGATTATTATGAATGGACTCTCATTGTCCTGACTCGTGCAGCACTACCACTGCTGCTACCACCTCCATGAGGCAATGGCTGCTGAAGCCTGAAATGCAATGGGAGCTCTGTTATTAATTACTATTTCCAGCTCAACTGTGTTACTACTACTACTACTGCCAGCACCAAGAAAAAAGCTGTTTTCATTTGGTGACAGTAAATGATAAACTAATTGATGGTGGCATCTTTTGTACAACTGGATCCCTCCAGATGCATAACAGTATTTTGGGAGCACACCAAATTGGCTGTCAATAGGTCTACTGAACATTGCTTTTACCACTGAAGGGCTAAACCACACCGTGCCTATAAGCCAATGCCAAACCAGTGCCACGTGGCACTGCAATTACACAGGCTCAGATCACCACTACCACCACGCCTTCTGAGCAAAGGCACAGCAAAGAGGTCATCCTTCTGTTTACAGTTATCCTGCAGGAGAGCATTTGTCAACAGCTTCACTATCACCTGCAGCACAAGTATCAAAGTCCAACAGAGATAAGGGCACGATGTTTTATGCCATGCTAAAGATGCCTCAACCCCCAGCGTGGTTCAGCGGTGCTGCTGCAGCGGGCAAAGCCCTGCAATAAGTAGGAGAGGAAAGCACTCTATTTATAGCCAAAATTCAGCACATTTGCACATGTTTATTGTTGAGCACATGCTTCTGTGCTCTGCTGAATGAGGATGAAGTGAGGTATGTGCTTGACAGCAAGCGTGGGCTTGCAAGCTTTGCTGGCTTGAGCCCTGTCCCTTTTCCCACATCCCTCCTCAGCTCACAGGAAGGGAACTGGAAGGCTTGGGCTTCGCCTTGACCCCAGCAGAAGCCTCCCAGCACAGCTCAGCTGAGGCCTGATGGGGCTCATGGCACAGCTCCCTGCATGAGTGGGGGACTTCCAGCAGAACAAGAAGCCTACAGCCCAACATCTCCATTGCTATCAGCTTCTGCTGTACATCAGTGCTGCACTTCTGACAAACCCAAGCCCACGTGCAATTCATTGTGAAGCAAATCTCCAGCAAATGGAGCAAACACAGCTTCCTCAGCTCTTCACAAAGTAATTATTCCAACGCTTTCCCTCCTGGAGGTGAACCACTTCAGTTGTCTCACCCAAAGTCTCAAATTAAAGGTCTTACTGTCAGTGGTGTCTGAGTTATCACTGCTGATCGAGTACTTCCGTCGTTTTTCTTCCATCTGCAACAAAAAAGAACAGTACATTACACCCCACGCCCAGACCCCCTCTCCGCACCCCTGCCTGCCTGCCCTGGGTGCCACCCCCCCAACAGGGCACCCAGAGCTCCAAAAAGGACATGCAAAATCCCCACTAGGTTTTTATTTATCAGCACGTGGCTGCACTTCTTCCCCAGCTCTGCCTGCTCCCAGGCAGTACAGCGAACACACAGTGACTGCTCAGAGCAGTGCTCTGCAGCACACACAGCCCCAGGGCCCCGTGCAGCTCCACACTGAGTGATGCCCCATGAGGCTGCAGGGCCCGGAGGCTGTGCCCAGAACTACCGGGCTGTGCTTGTGGGAAGTGCACAGCTACAGGAATGGAAACTCTGTGCATTCTTCATATTTCTGTAGGGGAAGTCCATGCAGCACTGAATTCAAGAGGACCCCTGTGCAACGAGCCTGGGGTTTTACCCTCTGAGTCATCTTCCCACTCGGGCTGCACTGACTTCTTTTAAGAGCTGTGATGTATCTGCAGCCTGAAGCATGCTTCCCGCAGCCCGGACCTCCTCCAGCACTGCTGGGCAGCTCCCAGCTGCTGCCACTGCTCCTCCTGGATGAGATGGGCACAGGGCAGCGCTGCAGGGGTCTCAGAACAAGGCAGGCATACCTGAGAGCAGCACTCCCTCTACCTGGGAATTGAGCAGGCAGAGCTGAAGGGGAAGCACCTGTGTGAGCACCTGTGTTAGCAGGTGCTTGGAAAAAAAAAGGGATGGGGGGGAGGGAGGGGGAAAGGAGGACAAAAAGAAAATGAAAGCATAGGTTTTCACTTGTGAAGAGCTTGGTTTCTCAGGGTTCAGCAGGTGGTGATCAGCATGGCCCCACCTCCAGGGCTCTGATGGAGCGCTATGCATGGACCACCCTGCTGAGAGCCACAGGTTGCAGGCACCAACCCCATGGAATCCTCCCTGGTGCCTTCTGTAAGAACGCTTTGTAAGAACATGAGGCACAGAGACTCTGTGCTCCAGGGGAAGGACACAAGTGCCCTGTGTGGTTCAGCAGCAGCACACCACACACACCAGAGGAGTTCCACTTGGGCACAGTTTCCCACTGCTCCCATGAGGCCCTCACAGCACCTGTACCCAACGATCTGTACACTGTGCTTCACCACGCCAATAGAAGGGATAATACCACAAAGCACCACCATAAACATTTTAACTACTGGGGCTGTTGCAAGGCATTGCCCTGTCAAAAAGCCATTAAAAACGTTCCTTGAGAATATGGCAATGCTGATGCATTCCTCCAGTGATTCCCAGGTTAGCAGCTGTTACTAAACCAGCTGAGTTCCAAGCAACCGTTAGGTTTCGCTTGGGGAAAGAGGATATTGAAGGCAGATTTATTTGTAGCTTGCTTTCTTTCAGTGGAAATGCTGCCTGCGTGCTTGGCTCCACTGGCTGGCTCTTGGAGCACAGCGATGGAGCTGTGCTTACTGATCCATGGAGCTGCCCAACACTGATAGCCCATAAACCAACACCAACAGGTGAAAGAACCACCTGAGCTGGAGCACAGGAATGCTACTGAGGCCCAAAGATATTTCCAGTTCTCCTATCTTTGGCTTTATAGCAAGGCAGCACCATCGGCATCACTGCCTGCCATGCATCTTCAGAGCCCAGCACAGGGGTCAGGGCTGGGGCTGCTTGTGACCATGGGGTATTTGTGGGATGAGTTTGTACTCACATGCAGAAGCGGCTCAACACCACAGGTTAAATTGTGGCTCTATTTCAACAAATCATTTTTGCCCCCATATGACAGGAATCAAGAGAGCATCCTCTGAACCAAACTGCATTTCAATTGCTCTGAATGAAACCCCTGACTGAGCCAAGTATGGGCATCTCTGAACACAGCAGCACCAAAAGGCAGCTCCAGCCCGGGCAGGGGACAGCACAAAGCAGCACCAACCTCCTGCAGGAAGAGAAACAGGGGACGAAACCCAAAGCTGAAACCCAAAGCTCGGGCAGACCTTTCAGAAAGTAACTTCCAGGATGCAGTTTCCTGAAGAACTCATCTTCCAGAGCCCACCAAACAGTAGTAAACTGCGGTACTTAACAGAGGAATTTACTGTAGAAAAAGGGTAATTGGGCAATTTCCCCACCTGGAGCTCAGGGCTATAAGGTCTGATGGTGGCTGGGCACCCTGCTGACATCCCTCCACCCCTGCTGCTCGCATCCCAGCCCTCGCACCCCGGAGCTCTCTCTGCCCATTCCTCCCCCCACCAGCCTCCAACTCTGTGTTACAGAGCCATTCAAAGTCTCCACAAAACGCAGTGCATTGCTCCAAAATTAATCCTCCGTTTACATTAGGAGCTAATTTCACCTTTAACTGACCCGTTCTCCACATGGCATCATTATTAAAGTCATAAACAAATACCAAAAAAATTTGTAATACTTTGAAAAGGTCGCTCTTAGGTCAAACTTGGCCCAAACTCTGGCTTTTACAGAGCCAGAAACCAGGAGAAAGGTTTCTATGTATGCTCGCTTAAAAGATTCAAATAGAAACAGATGTGGGTTTCTTTTATAAACAAATGAACATCCCCCTGAAGTGTCTGCAACTCGACTGGACTGCGCCAATGCCTGCAAAACCCGAAAACCGGACTGATTGCGAACTAACACATGCTCAGCATCGCCTTTGTTCCAGCTGAAAAAGGCAAATAAATGCAAAACCCAGGAACGCGATGGCCAACCATCAGCCTAAACAAATTTAAATCGGCAGGACCTGGGGCGAAACAGCCACGGGATGGGCAACGGAGCTGGGGTGAGCGGCGGATGGGGATGCTGCCATACCCCGTGCCGCTGCATCGAGCATTCCCGCCGAGGGAAGTGCCGGTGTGAAGCATCCCCATCGCCGCTATGGGACGAGGGCGAGTTCTCGGGGATGCTGTTTTGCCCGGCCCACGGGAAGAAGAGGAGCAGAGAAGCGGAGGCAGACTCGGAAGCACCTGCCCAAACCCTGAGCTCCTGTCCTGCCGTTCGCCAGGTCCCACGTAACCAGGAAAGGGTTCAGGCCATCTCCTCGCCCTCTGCCAGCCCCTTCTCAGCCCCTTCGCTCAGGGGAACCGCGGAGGTTTCCCAGCTCCCTGCGAGCTCCGCGCCCTGTGCATCACACGTGCGTTCGGGAATTCCCGGTGGCACCTCGTGCGGCGGCCCTTTGGGTCACCGAGGGAACGGTTCCGAACTGGGATAAGAGAAATTCGCGCAGGTTTGTCGCTTCTACAGGGAACACAGCACAGAAATCCGCACAATCCGCAGGAAAAGCAGAGCTCGACCATCGGCTCGTGGCAGCGCTCGGGATGCGCCGCGCTCCCCGCACCGCGACCTCCGCTCGGTGACAGTTGAGCAACAACAGCGGCTGAGATATGCGCTGTGTTTGCGAGCTGCAATGAGACTGCAGAAAACCACTTCCCTGTTTGTTCCTCCGGCACAGAAATAGGAACACAAACAGAAAATAGTGCCCCCAGCGGCACGCGCACCCGCCCGGCTCCGGACCGCCGCGTCCCGGCGCATCCCGGTGCGCCCCGGCGTGTCCCGGCGCGGGGGCTGAGGGGGGGCACGGAGCCACGGGGCGGCCCCCGGCGCTCCCCCCGCGTTAACCGTTTCCCGGCTCTGTCTAGGAAAGCGGCACGTTGTTAGAAAGCTGCTCACGGAGGGGAGGGGGGGCGGTGGGAAGCTTCCAGCCCCGCTCCGCTGTCCTGGCGGCGCTGCCTTTTTTCATCACCGACCGTGGAGCTCCGGACGGCCCCACTTCCCCGACGAGACGACGTACTTTCCGAGCGGGGATGCCCCCGCAGAGTGCCCACAGCCCAGCAGGACGTGTGGGCTCGCAGCCCCGCGCCCGGGGCGGGGGGAGCAGCGCTGCTCCGTCCCGAACCCTCAGGGGAGCGCAGCGCAGCCCCGGGCAGCCCGAAGCCGGCAGCGGCGGATGGAGGGGTGCGGGTTAAGGGCTGCCGGCGCAGCCCCGCGCCCAGGTGGAGCCGCCTCTCGCTCCAGCTGCGCCGCTGTCTCGGTTCCTAGGGGCACCATTTAATCTCATTTAAATTTAAATGAAAACAAGCCCTCGTTTACTTCCTGTGCTTTGCCATTTTTTTGCCCCAAATCTAGCAGGGGATTTTCTTTTTCTTCTAACTTTATTACTCACATTTCTAACTTTCCTTTCCTGACTTGTTACCCTCTCATTACTCATTCTGCCTGCAGCGTGTTCCGACACAGCACCGGCAATCAGCCGGGCCATCCCGGGGCCATCCCCATCCCGCTTCTCCGCACCGCAAGGGGCTGAGCCACACTGGAGCCCCCCGCACCAAACCCCGCACTCAGTGCCCCGCGCCGGCCCTGTGCCCGCCTCTGTGCGGGGCCACCTGCCCGACTTTCCGAACTCGGTGCCCAAACCCCATCAGCAGCCACATGAATTTCATCTCCCCGCTTTGAAATCTCGCACGTCCCCTTCCCACTCTGTGCTCCAAGGCTTCATTTTTAGAGATCAGCCTCAATTTTCCTAAGGAAAACAAACGTAACCTTTGATGTAACCTTTCTGCGAGCTATTTTTGCTCCTATCTGAGCTTATTTTAACCTCGGTAGCCAATAAACGCTTAAAGGTCAAACCCCGTTCCTACGATCTCCTCTCACCCCCGGGGGAAAGCCGGAGCTCTCTGATTTTTCCCAAGCAAACCCCCTCCCTCCCGACCATCCCAGCGCCCCTAACTCCACACCGCTCGGTGCGGGGGGCAGAGGGGGGGACGAGCTGAGGGTTTTTCCTCCAGATGCCTTCAGCCCCTTCCTCGCTCCGCAAGCGCTCGGGGTTCACAGCTATGAGGGTTATTCCCACCCCACCCCCCGCGATGGTGGCAGGTGGGGAAGGGGCCGGGCGGCCCCGGGGGCGGCGGAGCGCTGGGGCGGGCGGGGGAAGGGGGGGGCAGGAGGCGGCCGCCACGCCTCCGATCCTCGCGCCGCCGGGCACAGCCCCTACGGCCCCCCCCCGAGCTTCCCTCCCCCCCACCCCCCCGCCACCGGTAACGCGCAGAGCCCCCTGGAAACGCGGAGAGCGGTCCGTCCGCACAACCGTTGCCGCAGTCATTAATTTCGGGGGAATACAAGGGAAGGGGTTGCGGGGGGGGAAGGAAAAAAAAAAAAAAAAGGAAGAAAAAGCTGCGGGGCGAACCTGGAAAAGTTCGTGTTTACATCCCCGCCGCTTCTCGCCTCGCGCACTTTAAAACCGGGGAAGGGACCAACATGCGCAATCCGCCCCCTGGAAATGCCGCACATCCCCCAGCCGGGAGGAGAGAGAGACGAGTAAATAAATAAATAAATAGAGGAGATAGGAAAATAAATAATTAAAAAAAAAAAAAAAAAAAAAAGCGAAGCGCTGCGAAATGCCCCCCCCCCCCCCCCCCATCAGCACCAACCTCTCCCCCCCCCCCCCTCCCCATCCCTTCCCATCCGCCTCCCCCCGCGCAGCCTCACCTTTGCCGGAGCAGCGTCCGCGGAGAGTTGCGCCTGGCAGCGGGGGGCGGCGGGGAGGGGCGGGGCGGGTGGGATGGGGACGGGGACGGGATGGGGATGCGCAGAGCCCCTCACGCCGCTGTCATCGCCGCCGTCCCGGCCCTGCTCAGGGGCGGCCGCCCGGGAACTCCATGGCTGCTCCCAGCCGAGATGGCCGCTCGCAGCGCGGCCCGCCGAGCCCTGCCCGCCCGCCGCGGGTGCTCTCTGTTGGGTTTTTTTTCACCCCGCACTTCCTCAGGATCTCCTCGCCCCGCCGCTCGGGCTCCGGGAGGAGGGAGGCGGAGAAGCCACTTTCGGAGCGGGGCCGGATAATGGTGCTGCCGCTCCCCCCAACCCCCCACCCTCCCCTCCCTCCCGCCCCAAATCTTCCCCCTTAATTTCTTCACCCCCCCCCCCCCCCTCCGGGGCTCCGCGCGGGGCCAGGTGTCTCCGCTCCCCGCTCAGCCCCCGCCGGGCCGCGGGGGCCCCATGGCTGCGGCCGGAGCCCCGCGCTGCCCGCACCGCCCCGCACCGCCCCGCGTCCCGTTCGCGGCCGCCCCGCACACACCCCCCGCTTCACTCTTTACCTCCTCTCCCCCCCCACCCGCCCTCCCTCTTCCTTCCCCGCTCCACTCCCCCTCTCCCGGTTACGCACAGGCGTACACACGGGGCTGCTGCTGCAACCTTAAAAAAAAAAAAAAAAAAAAAAAAAAAAAGGCTTATACTTAAAAAAAAAAAAAAACCCTTTTGGCGCCATATTAATGACGTACTTAAAATTTGCCATTTCTCCTGCGTCAAAAAGACGGTTCTTGCCCGGCGCGGAGCGGGCGGGGGCGGCAGCGCGGAGCTGTTTCCCCCCCTCTCCCCCCCCATCAACACAACGCAACACTTCGCAATGCGCGGCCGAGTTCCGCGGGTGCGGAGCGGTGCGGAGCGGGGCACGGCTGGGGCAGCGGAGCTGCGGCACGGCCCCCCCTGGGGGGAGCAAAGCTGCGTTGCGCGGTGCCCCCGGAGGTGCGGAGCGGTGAAGCCCGGGGGGGTTTAGGCTGCCCCCATAGCGCGGGGGGAAGGGGGGGGGGGTTGTTTAGAGATGGAAACGGGGAGTCGAGATGGAACGGTCCGTGGTGTGCGCGCACTGTGCGGGAGGGGTCCGGCAATGCTCTCCAGAAGGAGGTGAAAATTGGGCTCTCCATCCACGGGCACCTTTAGCGGGCAGCTGCACAACCCCGAGCCGCCCGCTGGGACCACCGCGCCGAGCATCACTGAGTGCCCGAATTTCCCAAACTTCCATGAATTGGGCTGCGGTTTTTTTCTCTCAGGAACCTGTGCTGGGCATTTCCTGATGGTTTAAAGTCCAGTGGCTCTTCTGAGGATGAAGAATGAGGAGGAGAAGAGCACTGCTTCGGTCACAGCTGGGATTGCTGCATTTAATTATCAGCTTTTAAGTGTTGTAGCTCTGGAAATACAGCCCTGAATTGGACCGTGAGGCAGCCTTATATGAGCTTTTAGATAAAGGTGCCCAAACTGGTGGTGTTGGAGGTCTCTCAAAAAAGCAGCTCACAATGCATGGTATAAACATGCCTGATCCTGGCTGCTGGCATCTCCTAAAAGCTGCTCTGGGGGCACCTGCAGCCCCAGGCACCCCAGATTGGGATGAGGAGCAGAAGGTGGGTGGAAAGGAGAAAGCAAATGGCAAAAGGGGGGAGAATGAGGCCTGGGAGGAGGCTGGGGGTCGGTGAGCAGCAGATGGGCCTGGAGGTGCTGGGATGGCCACGGGGCATGGTGTGGGGATACTGGGGGAACAAGGGATATTTCCCAGTTCCCCATAGATGGAGCAGCACTCTGCTTATTTCTGGTTTGGAAATAAGATGTTGTCATCTTCTCTGGGGAGCCTGCTTGCTGGGATGCGGCCCCAGAGAAGAATGGGGACCATCAGGCACTGGTTAGGAAAAGCTTTTCCTGGCAGCAGGGAGCAGTGGGACCTCAGCAGGCTCCCAGCACCCCCAGCATCCCACTGCTGCCCTTGGGAAGTGTGAACTCACTGTGCCACACAGCCAGAAGGCTGGGAATGCCCAAATTAGAATGGAGGCATTCTGTACAGAGTTTTTTTGGTTGTTTTATTTACTTCTCATTAATCCTAATGCAGTTCTGAGTTACGTTGTCACACTCTTCCATACAATGCTGGACCTGCTCTGTAGGTAAATCAAGAGGAAGACCTACAGCCACTAAGTCCCATTTTATCTGCTGAGCCAAAAGCTGCCCCAGCAACAAGAGCTACAGGGACTGTCCCAAAGAACAGGACTCTCCTTGCCCTTGCCACAGGGGCAGTGCTAACAAAGTCATTGAAACAAACATGGAAGTGCTGAGGGTTGTGTAGCTTGAAACTGAACTGCTGACACCCGCTGTGGTGCAGCTGGAAGCAGTGGGTGCTGTGCTTGCATGTCTGAAGTGCCAGAGCACGCTCAGCGCTCTGGGAATGCAGACACTGCTGCTCAGGAGTGCCCTGAATTAGTCAAAACTGACCTTAATCCATCCACATGTTGTCCCAACCCATCTCCATAGTGGGTGCCTGGGGAGGATGCAGCACTGATGCAGTGTAGTGGAAAGCACCACTGGAGAAGCAATGGGAAAATTAATAATTCTGTCTTCAGGGCTGCCTGCTGGCTTCCCCATGCACACCTCTAGCCCCATAGCCCCCTGCTGGCCATTTCTGCAGGGTTTGGGGGCAAAACCACTAAAGGATGTTCCAGTATGTTGAAATGCAGAGCTGCCAAGCTGTGCAGAGTGGTTGAGAACCCTGGGTCTGGAGTGCCCCTAGACACAGCCTCAGTGCAAACCACAGAAGCACAGAATCATCAAGGTTGGAAAAGACCACTGAGATCACCTTGTCCAACTGCTGACCCCACGCTCACTAAGCCACCTCCCTGTCCAACAGTGCCTTGTTTTGGCTCTAAAACTGCCCACTGAGATGCTGGAACTGCATTTTCTGCTGCTGTGAGTTCTGTCACATGCTGAGCTAAGGCCTAGGACTGCATGCAGAGCAATCGCAATGCAACCAAAGTGCTGAGCCCCTCAGTGCCCATCCTGCACATGACCCAGTGGCACAGAAGGAAACCTGCAGTGAAAGAGTTCTCTGCTTCAACGAATGAGCATCCTTGGAGCTGCACCAGCACCAAGAACTCTCACGCTTCTCATTTTTGAGCATTTGATCACCGACCAGATTTTGCTTACCATATATGTCCATTGATCCCAAATTTGTATACGAGTCTATATATGTAACACATACATAGAGTATACACAGAGCTTATGCCCTGTGGGTGGTTCTACTACAGGAGAGTCACAAGCATATGATATATATGATGCTCTGTTTCATAGCATGTATGGCACGCGTTACAGAGAGCTCTGACACGGTGTTGTCAGAGAAGAGATAAATCTAATAATAAAAGCAACAAAAAAAGCATTTGGGGAGAAATAATACTGCACAAATCCTCTAAAAGGACAGAATTGTCTACACAACAAAGGCTCAGCTGATGGATGCTAAAATAAGCAGTTATGCAACAAGTAAGAAATACGATCTCTGGGGAAGGAGCCAGCAACCTTTTCCTTTCATCTTCACTCACCGGTGCTTATTTTTGCATACCTAAGAGAAAAATACAGACAGCCTTTCGACAGTGAGCACCTATGTTGAATTATGAGCTGTTTAAGTGAAGGAACCCGCAGGGCTCAGTGCCGTACCTACAAGAGTCCCCCGAAGCACCACGATGCTTCCATCGCCTCGGGGCTGCTGCTGGGATGTGGAGAGAGCAGAGTGTGGCACAACCTGCAGGAAATACATTGATTTCATGGGTGAGTGGGCTCACCATACAGCTGTGATTACAGAGCTGCTCAAACTTCTGAAGAATGAGCGTGTAATGGAATCATAAGATGGCTAGGCACAAAGAGACCCTACTGATCCCCAACGTGCTGCCCTGGGCTGGGTACCCAAAAAGCTCAGGCTGCCCAGCGTCACATCCATGGTCTTGAGCACCTCCAGAGATGGGGCATTTCATGTTAGAGCTCATGTCAGAACACTTGTGTTTGGTAAAACTTGTCAGGAGGATTTGAGAGCCCTGAAAACTCCTGTGCTGTCAGGAGAGGAGTGCCTTGCTGCCATCACACTGGGTTTCTGCAGTATCTGCTATGGCAGCCAGGTCCAAGGGAGTGTGGGAAGTCCCCAGATACAATGGAAACTCTGTGTTATTTTGGAGACCTCTGCTAACAATCAATTTACCCCTATGTTAGCTAGTCAGAAAGTGCTGGGAAAGCCTGGCTCCTTAGCTGCTGCATTCACCTGGCACACTGGAGGACCGGCTCTGGTGACAGAGAGCGGATGAGGACCCTCAGAAGCACATGGCTGCTCACTTACTCCCCTAGAAATCCTCTCCCAGTAGCCAGGAGAATGCAGAGTGACCCCTTGGCCACTTCAGCTCCTGCCAAGGAGCAGGGCAGCACGTGGCTGTTCCAGGGGGAGCACAGAGGTGCACGTATCTCACTGCATCCATACCCCAAGTGGGGCTCTCCAATACCCCAGCTGTAATTGGGATATCTAGTTTTGATTAAAACGTGTTAATTTGGAGAACAGCAAGCAGATGCAGTAGAAGGAAAAAGAGCAAGCTCTGTTCTAAATTATAATAATTATCACTCCCATCTTCGAGAACGAACTGCTACAGAAAGATCAAGGGCGAGATGGCTGCTACGGTCATTACACAAACGAATCCTTTTGCTTTGTCAGTCATTCTGCGTAATTCTTTTCCTCTCTGAAGCTAAGGAAAAATGCTGTTCTTACAGGAGAAGAGAATTTGATTTGGCAGATCAGTGGATAGAGAGATTTGGTTTGCAGTCTCAATTACCTCCACTAGCTGGAAATTTGGCATCCAAATAAACTGTAAACAAACAAACAAACAAAAAGCCTCAGATACAACGTTACAAAGTCCATCTCTTGATGGATAGCTCAAAATTCGCTATGTTCTAGCAACAGCTGCTTTAATATCTTCCAGGGAAATGGCAGGCTCCTTCTGCCCAGAGGGGTTGTCCTTAAGGAATGCCTCCGTAAGTGGTTTTGTGTAAGGATGCTCATGTTTTTGTGTGCTGAACTTCTTCTGCCCGATAGCAGGATTCCCTTCCGGTCGGTTTCTCTGCTTTCTGTGGGTTCTGTTCTGTCTGGAAGGACATGAAGTATGGCACGCTCTTCCCACAGACCCCAGGCTGAGAGAAGCATGGCTTACAGAGTGCCCTTGAGGGCAGAGTGTATTTGGAGAGACAGCACAGCAACACAGAATGGTTGGGTTGGATGGGACCTCTGAAGATCTCCCAG